GAAGGAAGGAAGGAAGGAAGGAAGGAAGGAAGGAAGGAAGGAAGGAAGGAAGGAAGGAAGGGCGCATGGGAAGGACGCGCCCCGGAGGCCGCGGGGAGGGGGTTAATCAAGCGGGCGCCGCGCGTTCCCACGGTCTCCGCTTGCGCCTGAGGCGGGTGCGTCCCGAGTCCCCACACATCCTGAGTGTTTGGATATGGACGTGGCCTGAGTTGGCTGCTGCGTGCAGCGGTAGGCGCTGGCGCAGGGCCACGACCCGAGTGTTTGTGTCCATCTGTTTCTCCTTTCCCCGGGAGCTTGCGATGTGATGCCTGCAGGGGTCCTGGGGGGCGTGTACCCGCCGATCAAGAGGAGGCGTGTCCCTAGGGGTGTGGCTGGTGGGTCTCTAGAAGTACCTGTTGGGATGCTAGCTGTGTGTGCGCGTGTGTGTCCCGGGTGGGTGTACACCCGCGGGCCGTAGGGAGAGCTGCGTGCAGGGAATGCAGGAGAATGTCCCTGTCTTCGGTGACAGTTGGGATGTAGATTTGTGGACGGGGCGCTCCGCTATCCTGGAAAACTGTAGTCTGAAGTTTCAGGACCACGGACAGCTCTGGGACCTGGTGAGGCTCCTGCTAGTCTGGAGTCCTGGTCCCTTGTTCCCCAGGCCTGAGTCTCCTGAGACACTGACTCTTGAACAAGGATGTTTCAGTGGTGATGCTCCTGTTCTGTCCTTCCTCTTTATCTCTAGTGCTTGATAATTGAGCAAACAGAGGCCCAGGAACAACCTCCCTGAGACCAGAATGCCACCTTTACCACGAACCTGGATTTGGGAAAGAGGCCCAGGGGTTGGGGCGGGCGGGCGGGGTGGGGGGAGCACATTCTGGGCCAACAGGAGCTATTCCTGCATAGCCTGAGTGCCAGACTCAGTCTTGCTCCACAAACGTCCAGGCTTGAGAATTGGACCCTGGGCATTTGCTGGATCCCACCTGTGAGATGACAGAAGAGAGAGCTTCGCCAGGCCTCCCTGGTTGGCCAGTATGAACGCAGTCTGGTTCCAGCCAGCCAGAGAAAGCCTGTGGGGACTGCTCGCTCCCCTCCCACCCCAGCATCTCCCTTATGTCCAGGTTACAGGTGGGGAACACGAGGCAGGCCCTAGGCTTGGGTTCTTAGCCGCAGTGGTGACATGTGGCGGTTTGGGGGTGCATGGGGAGGGAAGGCTGGGAGAAGAAACTGAGCTCCTGTCCTTGAGGCCCTGTGGTACAGATGCCTGGGGGACCTGTACATGCCGTGGCTGCTTTAAGCCCTGGTGGGTTCAAAGGCCACCAGTCTTGCCTGGACAGCCAGATTGTAAAATAGGGGGTGAGCAAACAGAAGGGACAGAGGCTGTAGTTGGGGTTAAAGGAGTCAGTGTGGCCATCAAACTTCAAGGCTGGTTCAGGGGGCCACCCACCTTTCATGTCTGGGGACTTGTGTCCCATCTAGGACCTTCTGTGTTGACCAAGACAGGTCTTCAGAGCCTCTAGGGGCGATTGGAAACACCACACAAGTGCTGACTAGTGATGAATAGGGGGACTGATTGATTGATTTCGGTCTTCCCTGGGTGGTTCCTACTGATGAAACATGCACACCCTCAGCTCAGTTTCCACCTTTTGTCCCGAGACAGGATTTCATTAAGTTGTTCAGTAGCCTTGAACTTATCGTCCTCTTGCCTCAGTTTCCCAGGTGTGCACTACTAGGCCCAGCTGTATTGATTTAACAACAAAAAAAGGAAGATCCCACCCCAAGGCTGGGAGAGGAAGAGCCATTCAGTCATAGTTGTCTCAGGAGGTTGGTGGGCTGATAGGAAATGTGTGTGTGTGTGTGTGTGTGTGTGTGTGTACATATATATGGTGTATATCTTTAAAATATTTATGCAGAGTAGTGGGCGGGGCCTCGTGTCTTTCCAGGGCCTGAGCACCTCTCTCTGTTGGCTGTGACCTGGTTCCCCAGTGGCTCGGTCCTGTGACTTGGCAGGCAGGCCTGACATCCGAATGGGACTTCATTGGTTGGTGACTAGGAACCGGTTCTCCCCGCCCAGGCAGGAGGGGCAGGAGAAGTCACTGAAGGCATGGAGGGAGGCAGGCAGGCTGGGATGTCAGAGCCCTTGGGCACCAGTTGCCTGCACCATGCAGTCCACAGGGACCTAGGGGTGCCAAGTTCTTAGCAGAATTCTGTCCCAGAGTGCCCTAGGACTGCAGGGTGCCTAGGGACCACTTTAGGCTTCTCTGCCTCCATCTCCTAAGATGTGAGGAGGTTGTGCTGTGGGGGAAGGGGCAGGTGTCCGATGCTGTCTGAAAGGATCTTCTAAATACCCCCCTCCTTTTTGGATAGAATTTTGTCCAAGCTGTGCCCAGACATCTAAAAATTATCATTATTTCAATTCTTCTTACCTTTGTGCATTGTGTGTGGGGGCACCACGGTGCCCATGTGTTCTTCAGAGGGAGGGCAACTTGTGGGAGTGACTTCCCTCCTTCTGCCCTGTGGGTCCCAGGGACTGAACTCAGTTTGTCAGGTTTTGGTAGCTGTGACTTTTACCAGTGAGTTTTCTCACTGCCTCCACTTGTTTTCTTAAAATGTAGCTGAGGATGGCCTTGAACTTCTGATCCTCCTGAGTGCTGGATGACTGGAGTGTGCCCCCAAGCCCGGCTTCTGTGCTGCTGGAACTGTGAGCTGGGCTTTGTGCATGCTCGGAGAGTATGCTACCCACTGACCTCCCATTTGAGCTCTTATTCTGTAGGCCAGGCCGACCTCCCACTTACAGTAATCCTCCTGCTTCATCCTCCCAGGTGCTAGGATCACAGGCAATTGCCACCCCACCCAGTTCTACCTGGTTCTTCTGAGAATCAGCCCTGGCCCTGAGAAGGTTCTAGAAGCTTCTATGGAGAAGCAGGGTTGAGGGGGCTTGGGGAAAGTGTACCAGGTCTGGATTCACATGCTCAAGTTGGGTGTGATACCTGGGGAAGTGAGAGGAGAGAGCCGAACAGTCCTCGGGAGCTGTTAGACCCACTCCAGACCTGTAGGCGCCGGTTCTGAGCCTGCCACACCCTCCCACGAGATGGCCAGGGGTCAGTGTGAGGTCAGGACGTTGCTTCCTGCATGCAAATCCCTGGAAATGGGCCCTGTATCAAGGCCCTAGAATAAATCGCATTATCATCGAGGATGTGGTGTTTGGGCATGCACCGGCCTCCCGGATGGGGTTGGGACCCGGAAACTCTCAGTGTTGTGAAAGAAGTCTTTGGGGAGGGGTGAGGCCCCCTCTTCCTGTACCCCAAGGCTATCCTTTCAGTGTTCAGGGGACCCCTTTCCTTGGCATGGCCTCATCAGCCTCCAACACACACTCAAGCACAGTGTCGGATGACCCCATCCCCTGTTAGCCACCCTGACGTTATTCCTGAGTTGAGTGACAGATTGTAGTCTCCTTGACCAGGTGGGGATCTCAGCCCTCTGCAGATTCCGTTGTTTCCAGGTCCCTCTGCCTCCGCCTGGGAAGCCCCACACTGGCATCAGAGTCTTTGTGTTGCTGTTCTGACTGCCCAGGAACCACCTCTCCCCCACACCATCAGCTCTCGAATGCCAGCTCCTCCGAGCAGCCTCCTCCAACACAACCCAGGTCCATCTCTCACACCTTGGCATTGAGCACAATCCTTCCTGATGGACATTTCCTCCTTAACCCACCCCCACAGGAGCTGGGAGTTGGGGAGCATGCAGCCTGTGTGTGGCTATCTGCTGTCCCTGGTCACTGTGTCCCTGGTGCTTGGCATATAATGGGCCTTTACAAATCCTGCACCTGGGACTCCAGCTGTCTTCCCACCGGGTTTCCAGCCCTAATCCTGACACCTGCTCTGGGGACTCAGTGGGCTCAGGCCCTGATCCTCTGTCCAAGCCTGGCCCGTAATCCCTGATCTCCGGCCTCTAATCCCTCCAGCTTTGCTGGGATCTGTGATCCCAGACGGCTTCTGGCTCCATCTCGGGTCTGCCTGGAGAGATGTGGCTGCCCTGGTTGGTCCACGGAAGCCTGACCTTGGCTTGGAGGGCGCAGTGAGCAGCTCTTAGGACCCTGACTGTCCCAATGGGACTGTGACCCACCCCAGCAGTGCCCAGCTGTGAATGGAAGGGGCTTTTCTCTATTACTCCATCATCTATGGGCCTCAGTTTCCCTTCTGGAGCTGAGAATGGCTGGGCAGCTGAGGGAGAATAGAGTTCATTTGGTGTCCGCCATCCAGAATCCACCTATGGATATGAGAGGGCTCAGGCTGAGGGTCAGCGAGAGAGACTCCTTCTCTTGTTTCCCAACGGATCTGACCCCTGAGCCGGGGGCTTGAGAGTCCTCACAGAATTGGGCCGTCATCAGGACTCATTGTTTATTAGGGAATTTGTTTTGTTTTGTTTGAGAAGGTCTCATGTAGCCCAGGCTGGCCTCAAGCTCATTATGTAGTTAAAAATGTCTTTGAACTCTCTGGCCTCAACTTCCCAAGTGTTCCCTGCTGGGGATGGCGTAGAGAATCCCTGGAGTCCTAGAGAAGGTGGGGGTGATGCTTCTCAAGGACGCACAGCCTGAGAGAGAAGTTTGAGCTGAGTCTGGACGACCCGCCATGCCAGGTCCTGTCTCCTCAAACTAGATGTCATGGTTAGGGGCTTTGAGACGGGGTGGGGGAGGGGACCTCCGGAGTCCTGGGGCTCTTGATGTGCCTGTCCTGATTCCCTCGGTGTGGGACTTCAGACCCATTTGGACTGTATCTGTGGGGACCAGGTTGACTAGGGAGGGTGAAAGCTAGGAACACTTGGGTTAGAGCAGGTGGGCGGGCTCCACCCTACCAGGGCCACAAGGACAGCCACCACTGTTCTGTCTCCTCTGTCCCTGGGAGAAAGCAGGCCATGCCATGTGGCCTGGAGATGCAGTCGCTGAGGGAGGTTCCTGGACAGAGTGACTGGGGACAGAGGACAGCCTTAGTCCCGGGCCCCATTTCCCACCTGGCAATCCCTGGGCCTCGGTGGGCAGTGTGCCTGGCCCTGACACACACACACACACACACACACACACACACACACACACAAAGAGAAGTGTGTGCGTGACTGCGGCCTAGAAAGAGGTGCCTGCTGTGCTCTGCAGACTGTCAGGACCCACCCTCTAATCGTTTCTGAGCCTCCTTCCCATCGCCCTTGAAAAGTGCCCCCCCAGTGGTTTCTAGGCCCCCCTGGTGGTTTCTTGGCCCACCCTTAGTTGTTGCCAGCTCCCCACCGCCAAAGACGGTTACTGTGCCCACCAATGGTGGTTTCTAGGTTGCCCTGCTGGTTTCTAGTCCTGTGGACTTTTGGTTGTTCTTTCTTCGTTGTTTTACTCTGGCTCTTCCCCCAAAGAGAAGGCATCCTCAATCCAGAAAGGAGAGGTTGAGGCCGAGCTTTATGACGGAGAGCAGCAGTTCAGAGCGTCTGTTGATGAACAGGACCTCTCATCATGGTCTGAGCCACCAATGCTGTCCAGACTCGTGGCCAAATTTAAAGCAGTTATTTATGGCTGGGAAGAGAAGTAGGCTTTGGTTCCTTTCACTCGGTGGGCTGACTCACAAGCTCCTGTAACTCCAGCTCCTGGGGCATCAGACACCCTCTTCTGGCCTCTGCACTCACATGCGCAGGACAGTCCCCACCCTAGACCTACAAACATACACATAATTTAAAATGAAAAGTTTTAGCCGGGCGGTGGTGGTGCACACCTTTAATCCCAGCCCTCGGGAGGCAGAGACAGGCGGATCTCTGTGAATTCGAGGCCAGCCAGGGCTACACAGAGAAACCCTATCTCAAAGGAAAAAAAAAACAAAAAAACAAAAAACAAAAAACAACCTTTAAATCTGTTATTTGCTTTTGCTCTTGAGGTCTGAGAGACCCTTGCCTACCTCCAGGAGTGTTAGCCCTCAGCTCCAGAGGTCTTTTTCCCCCACCAAGAGGCTTTGTGAGGGACATCGTACATGGATAGAATCCCCAAATCCTCCCCCAAAGGGCTTCGCCCTATACGGGCTGAGGAGAGAAAAGACTGAGGTCCTCAGGGGACGGAGAAGCTTGCCCAAGGTCACTCGTGCCTGGCAGGTGCGGGCACAAGGCTGGACTGGGAGACTCTGGGTGTTGTCCGGCCATTGGCTCTCACAATCTGAGCTGCTGAGAATGCCCCAGTACAAATCACTTTTTAATTTTTTTCTCTCTTTTTTTGGACTGTTTCCTTGAGCTCAGTTCTCTGACGTGGAGTGCTGGTCGCCCGCTGGGCATGGTGTTTATAACTGTGCCCCTGAGGTGCAGGCCAGCAGAAGGAGCCAGCTCACAGGCGGGCCCTGAGACAGCGGCTCCAGACACCGCACCCCTGATGCACGTCACTCCTTTGAGCTGATTCGGGCGAGTGCCCAGCCTGTGTGCTCTAGAAACAGTGGGCTCTGTGCCTGTGGGAAGCCCCAAATTCCAGGGCTGGCGACAGACCGCTGGAGACACAAGGGGCTGACACTGTCTAGGTGTGAGGAGACCCTCTCCTGTTTTTGTTTGTTTGGAGACAGGGTCTCTCTCTGTCTGGCCTGTCTCCCTGGCCGGCCTGGAAGTCACAGAGGCCCCTGCATCTCCCCCCTGAGTGCTGAGATTGTAAGGGTCCCCCACCTCACCTGGCCTAGTTCTAGAACTCTGAATCCTCCTGCCTCCTCTCCAGCACTAGGATGGCACCTGTGCCCACCGTGCTTAGCTCTCCAAGGTGTTTCTTGAGGTGACCAGCTGAGCCCTACAAGAGCTGTGGTCTCGCCATGGTGCGGGCCCCGCAGCTCTTAGTGGAGAAGAGAAGCTGCTAGAAGCCCTGCCATGTACCCTACCTGGCTCTTAGCCTCCCACCCATGCCCAGCGGTGTGCCACCCACTGGCTCCCATCCCTTTTGAAGGCCAGATTTGTACCTGGCACATGGTCCCTCTCTGGTCATGTGAAGTGTTTAATCTATTTTGAGTCTTCTCTGCGGTCTGGAGGTACCTTCAAGGCAAGGTCAGAGTGGGCCAGAGAGAGGGACCCTGGCTGCCTGGGGTCAGGAGGCTCCTTTGAGGAAGTCCAGTCCTTGCTACACAGCAAGACCTGGAGTCCCGGAGACCACTTTAGGATTGTGGTCTGGAGACCCACCTTAGAGTCCCAGAGGGAGAGAGACCACCTTGGATTGGGATCCCAGAAACTACATTAGTTTTGCTGGAGACCTACCTCAGGGTTAGGGTCCCAGAGACCACCTCAGGCTTGGGGTCCCAGAGACCCACCTCAGGGTTGGGGTCCCAGAGACCACCTCAGGCTTGGGGTCCCAGAGACCACCTCAGGCTTGGGGTCCCGGAGACCACATTAGGGTTGGGGTCCCAGAGACCACCTCAGGGTTGGGGTCCCGGAGACCACATTAGGGTTGGGGTCCCAGAGACCACCTCAGGATTGGGGTCCCGGAGACCCACCTCAGGATTGGGGTCCCAGAGACCACCTCAGGGTTGGGGTCCCAGAGACCACCTCAGGATTGGGGTCCCGGAGACCACCTCAGGCTTGGGGTCCCGGAGACCACCTCAGGATTGGGGTCCCGGAGACCACCTCAGGATTGGGGTCCCAGAGACCACCTCAGGCTTGGGGTTCCGGAGACCACATTAAGGTTGCAGTTCTGGAGACCACCTCAGGGTTTTGCGGTATCCGAAACACCCTGGGCTGGGGAGGAGGGAGCGCCTGCCGAGGCCAAGGCCGGGAGGTGTGAGCATCCTGCCTGTCCCCAGGTTCTACTGGGACTTCACCATGCTGCTGTTCATGGTGGGAAATCTCATCATCATCCCAGTGGGCATCACGTTCTTCAAGGACGAGACCACCGCGCCGTGGATCGTCTTCAATGTGGTCTCGGACACTTTCTTTCTCATGGACCTGGTGCTGAACTTCCGTACTGGCATTGTGATTGAGGACAACACGGAGATCATCCTGGACCCCGAGAAGATAAAGAAAAAGTACCTGCGCACGTGGTTTGTGGTAGACTTCGTGTCGTCCATCCCGGTGGACTACATCTTCCTCATCGTGGAGAAAGGCATTGACTCTGAGGTCTACAAGACGGCGCGCGCGCTGCGCATCGTGCGCTTCACCAAGATCCTCAGCCTGCTGCGGCTGCTGCGTCTATCGCGGCTCATTCGCTACATCCACCAGTGGGAGGAGGTGAGGGGCAGGCAGTGGACCAGTTGTGGGCGGAACCCCAGCGACGTGGTCTTGGGCAGGACTAGGGCTATAATTGAAGCTGGGGCCACCAGCGATAGAGAGTCCAGGGATGCTGGGCTTCGGGTGTGGGTGGGGCTTCGACTGTGGACCAGGCAAAGGATGCAGGGGCGTGGTCACGAGGGATGTTGAAGACTAAGTCTAGGGCTTGGAGATGGGGTCCTTAGGTGTGCGATTGTGGGGGTGGGGGTGGGGGTGGAACCTTGGGCTTGGGTGGGGCCAAAGTCTATTCTGTGAGTCGAGCGGATCATCTGAGGGTGGGTCCTAGGTATAGGTGTGACCATGCCTTTAGGGCCAGGGCTTTGACTTGGGGTGCGCATGAGAGACATGGACACCAGTACTGTGGGTACGAGGTCTTGGCAGGGGCAGGGATCACAAGAAACAGACTGGGGCTGCAGGGCTGCGGCTTTGGGGTTTAGCTGGGTCAAAGCTGCAGGGAGAGAACCTCACGCTTGGGCAGGGCCAGAGCTGCGGATGTGGAGCCCACCTGGATACCAGTTCCGGGAGCACAGGGCCTTCGGTTGTGGGTGTGGCCAAGGCTGAGGACCATAAGAGGAAGCAGGCAGGGCTAAGGCCTCTACAGGGAACAAAGATGGCATCTTAGGGCAGAGTCAAAGCTGTAGGTGGGGGGGGGGGGCGGCCTTGTGGGACCAAGGCTGCAGGGAGGAGCTGCCAAGGGCAGTGGATGAGACCCTTACTATGGGAGCCTTCAGGGAAGCGAGGTTTGCCTGCGATGGAAGGCCCAGAGCTGGGCCCCAGGGAGATGAGGAGCAAGGTTTGCAGAGGGATGGGGTAAGTGGTGCATTGCACATTGTTAGGCGTCTCACATTGTGGTTATAGGCTCAGGAACAGGCCTGAGGACAGACAGTCTTGGGGACCTCCATGGATCCCCTCCTCCCTCACGGACCTTCAGGACACTGGACTTTGGGGAGTCCTTCAGACAGCCTCGTGGTGTTAACATGCCCCTTCCTGTAAGATGTAGGGGAAGGAGGTTCATTCAGACTTCTCCAGCTACCCAACTCCCAAATTCAAGATCCCTGACTCTGACCCGTTCCTGCCTCCCTGGCCACTGGGAGGATCTCAGAGGGGCTGGCAGGTGGAGACAGAACTTGGGCAGGATGGGGCCAGACATTCCAGAGGGGTCTTGAGTGAGGTAGGCTAGGTGGAATTCGGAACAGAAGTGGCTGGGGGAGGGTACAGAGGATTTCACTAACCTTGGACAAAAAGGTCACAGGACTCAGCAAGCAGGGTGTGGGGCAGGGACAGAAGGAGAGGAGGGTCTGGGGCTCTCATGGTCATGCCCGCTCTCAGATTTTCCACATGACCTACGACCTGGCAAGTGCGGTGATGCGCATCTGTAACCTGATCAGCATGATGCTCCTGCTGTGCCACTGGGACGGCTGCCTGCAGTTCCTGGTGCCCATGCTGCAAGACTTCCCCAGCGACTGCTGGGTGTCCATCAACAACATGGTGGTGAGTGCTCCCGGCCCGACAGCGCCCCCTGGGGCCCCCCAGCACAGCGCAGCTCCCACTTGCCCTTGTGCCCTGTGCCCACCAGCGCCATCTAGGGTCCTCTGTGGGCAGAGCGGCTCCCGCATGCTGTGACGCCTGTGCCCACTAGTGCCCCTCAGCTACCCCCACACTTGCCCCGTGCCCAAAGCCGACAGCGCCCCTGGGGCCCTTCAGCCCGCCGGTCCTGGTGTCTGACGCCTGCCAGTGTCCCCAGGAGCCAGTTTTCAGTGTCACACAGACACGCTACTCCGCGCTCTTCTTACTTTAAAGGAATGTTTTACGTAGCTGGCAGCGGCGGCGCACGCCTTTAATCCCAGCACTTGGGAGGCAGAGGCAGGCGGATCTCTGTGAGTTCGAGGCCAGCCTGGGCTACAGAGACAGCCAGGGCAGCACAGAGAAACCCTGTCTTGAAATCCCCCCACACACACCCCAAAATTTTTTTAGACTTTTTTGGGGGATTTTTGTTTGTTTGTTTGGTTGGTTGGTTTTTTTCAAGACAGGGTTTCTCTGTATAAGGTTTTGTTTTGTTTTTTCTGTGTAAGTTTTGATGCCTGTCCTGGATCTCGCTTTGTAGACCAGGCTGACAGAGATCTGCCTGGCTCTGCCTCCCGAGTGCTGGGATTAAAGGTGTGCGCCACCACGGACCAGATTTTTTGGTTTTTTTCCAGACAGGGTTTCTCTGTGTAGTTTTGGAACCTGTCCTGGAACTCACTTGGTAGCCCAGGCTGGCCTCGAACTCACAGAGATCTGCCTGCCTCTGCCTCCTGAGTGCTGGGATTAAAAACGCGCTCCACCACCGCCCGGCTGACTTACTTCATTTTATGTGTATGTTTGCCTGCATGTGTATATGTGCACCCATGGAGGTCAGAAGAAGGCATTAGGTACCCCAGGAACTAGAGTTACGGATGTGGGTGGTGAGAACTAAGCTAGGGTCCTCTTCAAGAGCAACAAGTGCTCTCAACAGCTGAGCCTTCTCTCCAGCCCCCCTTACTTGTGTGTTTAAAAGAGTTCACATTAGGTTTATTTTATTGTTATGTTTTAAATTATGTTTATGTGTGTGGGTATATGCACATGAGTGCAGTGCCCTCAGAGGCCAGAAGAGGGCATCAAATAAATCCCCTGGAGTTAGAGTCACACGTGGTTGTGAGCTGCCATGTGAGTTCTGAGAACTGGACCCGGGTCCTCTGGAAGAGCAGCCAGTGCTCTTAACTGCAGAGCCATCAATCCAGGCCCTTTACATTTTGTAATCAGCATCTCATGTAGCCCAGGTTGGCCTCAAATGCATTAGGTAGCTGAGGATCACCTTGAACTTGTGATCACCTTGCCTCTACCTCCAGAGTACTGGGATGGCAGATGCGTACCACCACACCAGCCACCAGCTTCCCTTTTTGTCTTTTTTTTTTTTTTAATGATGCATCTAACTTTCTTATGTGCATTGGTGTGAAGATGTCAGATCCCAGAGAACTGGAGTTACAGACAGTTGTTAGCTGCCGTGTGGGTGCTGGGAATTGAACCAGGTCCTCTGGAAGAGCAGCCAGTGCTCTTAACCGCTGAGCCATCTCTCCAGACCCCCTTTTTGTCTTTATGTAAATGTATTTAAAACAAAACAACCTTCAGATGGGAAAGTTGTTACCATCAGCTCTAAGAAGTAACAACCCCAAGTAGGTGTCCCAGGGTCTGCATCCAGACAATTAAAAAGACGCTGTACAGCTCAGGCAGGAGTCTCTACCAGCTGCTAAGAGAGGCAGATGTAGGATGGTAGTTCATGGGTAGCAAGACAGAGTAAAAAGAGGGTTGGGGGTGACAACAGTGGAGCTCCATCTTGAATCCCCCCCACACAGTGAGGGGCTGGGGGCGTGGTCAGGGTGCAGCCCCGCCTAGAATCCCCCAGTGAGGGGCTGGGGGCGTGGTCAGGGTGGAGCCCCGCCCAGAATCCCCCAGTGAGGGTAGAGGATAGGGCTCAGTGATGAGCACCTGCATAGCACCCCTGAAGCCTTGGTTTGCACGCCTGGAATTGTGAAAGTGTGAATGTGGTCTACAGCGAGGGTCGCACCCCAGGACAGGGACACACACAGCAGACAGGCATCAATGGAGTCAAAAGCCGGGTAGGGAGAACCCACAGGCGCCCCTCCCGAGAGCCGGGCACAGCTGCCCCTGCTGAGGAGCCTATTGTCCGCTGCTGCCTGCACAAGCGGTTCCATTTCCTGGACGGGCCCGGTGCCCCCCCTTTTCTGGCCGGGTCAACTGAGGACATCCAGGGGCGGACCTCTCCCCTCCTTGCCCCTCGGGTGTTATTCCAGTGTTCCAGGGCTCTGCAACTGGCACCCTTGACCTTGAAGCTGCTTTGGCGAGCGCAGCCCTTTTGTGGCTTCGTTTCTCCAGACGTGCGGTGGGGGGAGGTGAAGTGGGGTGCGACCCTCAGGCCCGTCCCTGCAAGTGCCCCTCTGGTTCTCTCTGGTCGCGGGGAACTCACCCCCCTCGAGTGCCAGCGGGGAGGTGGGCAGGTGGGTCCAGGGACCCCCCTCAGCCATCCCCGCTGACCTTGCAGAATCACTCGTGGAGCGAACTCTACTCCTTCGCGCTCTTCAAGGCCATGAGCCACATGCTGTGCATCGGCTATGGGCGGCAGGCGCCCGAGAGCATGACGGACATCTGGCTGACCATGCTCAGCATGATCGTGGGGGCCACCTGCTACGCCATGTTCATCGGCCACGCCACGGCCCTCATCCAGTCCCTGGACTCCTCCCGGCGCCAGTACCAGGAGAAGGTCAGAGGGGGCACTTGCCCTGAGACTGGGGTGGGGAAGGATGCTGGTGCTGAGGGCTCCCGGCAGCGCTCAGGACACAGTCAAGAAAGGACCCGGCTGGCGTAAGTGAGGTGAGGGGACAGGAGCCCGTGTGGTTCGGAGCCAATCAGACCAGTCCCTGGGGCCCGGTTCTGAGCATTCTGGGGTGTCAGTGACATGGGGGTGGCTGGGCAGCAGGGGGAGCCTTCGCAGAGAGTAGCGTTACCAGCCATTTCCGTCTGTCCTCTGCACAGAGTGCGTCCTCCAGGCTGGCGCTGGGGACATGCGGCAGCCGAAAGGGCAGGGGCCGCGCCTTCCGCCACCTGCAGCCCCGCCCTCTGCAATGGGTCTCAATTCCCCACCCCCTACAGTGCCAGCCGGGTCACCCAGGCTCTGTGCCAGGCACCCGCGTCCGGAAGCCTCCGTCTTACACCCAAACATGAGCGGGTGCTGCCACCACCCGCCGTCACGGGGTCTGCTGAGATAAGGGCAGCTGCGGCTTAGAAATGGGGCCGGGGACAGCCTGGCACCCACACCCCAGCCCTGCAGGGGAGGGGCTGACTCTGTGTGGTTCCCCAGGTCCCAGGGGCAGGCTTTGGATGGAAGTCAGCATGCATGCTGATGTTGACTCCACAGATAACCAAGCCTCAGATCTGAGCCGGACACCCTAAGGTGCCCGCCCAGTAGACATTTTGACAGACATGGTGTACCCCATGCTGGCCTCGATCGCACTCTATGACAAGGACGACCTTGAACTCCTGACCCTCCTGCCTAGTGATGAGGTTAGAGGTTAAATACTGGTCCAGACTCAGGTTTAAACATAACTCTATCTGCTAACTGGGCATGGCGTCTCAGGCTGTCATCTCACCGCTCAGGAGGCTGAACTCAAATTCCGGGCCAGCCTGGGCTACAGAGTGAGACCCTACTGCACACAACAGAATGAAGCATGAGGGCCTGGGGAAGGTGTGACTACAGTGCTGGCCGGTCTAGTGTCTGTGAAGACCTGAGTCCCACCCCAGCGTCATAAACCTATCATGGTGGTACACGTCTGTCATGAGAGAGAGGTAGAGGCGGGACAGTCAGTTCAAGGTTAGCCTCGGCTAGCTAGCAGCTTCGAGGCCAGCCTGGGCTACATGAAACCCTGTCTCAAAACAAAACATATTTGTCTTTGGTGTTGCTGGGCTTGCCATCTCCCTGGGCCGGGCTGGACTGGGTGGTGTGTCCCCGAGCTGGGTGGCGCCGGTCTGGGCCAGTCTCGGGGGCAAACACTGACCCTGCTCTCCTCCCCACAGTACAAGCAAGTAGAGCAGTACATGTCCTTCCACAAGCTGCCCGCGGACTTCCGCCAAAAAATCCACGACTACTATGAACACCGGTACCAGGGGAAGATGTTTGACGAGGACAGCATCCTTGGGGAGCTCAACGGGCCGCTGCGTGAGGTGAGGTGGCCGTGGCCACAGGACCTGGGGAGTCTCGGCCACACCCCGACATTGCACACACCCACCTGTACCCAGGGTCCCACGGATCGGGTCTGACCAGCTGTGGGTGCCCCTGGGAAGTCTCCCAGGGCTGCCCTGGCCAACACCTGCCCGCCTGCCAGCTTCAGACACCAAGCTACAGTCTCCCAGGTGCAGGACGTGACATACACATCTGTGTGCAGGATGCTCCCTCCAAGACCCTGGGGAGGTCCTTCTGCCCCTCCTGTCATCCACACACTTGCTTCACGTGTGTGGATGCCTTGCTTGCATGTGGTGCCTGTGGAGGCCAGAGGAGAACATTGGATCCCTTGGAACTGGAGTCACAGACAGTTGTGAGCTGCCATGTGGGTGCTGGGGATGGAACCCAGGTTCCCGGGAAGAACAGCCAGTGCTCTAACCACTGAGCAGTCTCTCCAGCCCCCCCACCTTTTAAGATTCTACTTTACATGTGTGCGTGTGTGCATGTGTGCCCACAGGTGTGTTCAGGTACTTATGTAGGCCAGAAAAGGGTGTCTGACCCATTAGAGCTGGAGTTACAGGTGTTTGTGAGCTACCAGACATGGGTGCTGGCCAGGATCAAACTCAGGGCCCTCATGATTGAGCAACTTTTTTCTTGTTTTCTTTTCTTTTTTTTTTTTTTAACATGCATTGGTGTTTTGCCTGCACGTATGTCTGTGTGAGGGTGTCGGATCCCCTGGAACTGGAGTTACAGACAGTTGTCAGCTGCCATGCAGGAGCTGGGAATTGAACCCGGGTCCTCTGAAGAGCAGTCGGTCCTCTTAACCCGCAGCCCCTGAGTAGCAAACGCTCCTGACCACTGAGGAACCTCTTGCATCCCATCTCCTTTTTAAATGCACACGTGCATGCGTCTGGTGTACCAGATGCACAGGGGCCGGAAGGCAGCGTGGGTGTTGCCCTGGAGAACACCAGCTGCCACCTTTTGAGACACGGTCTCCCACTAGCCTGGAGTTCGGTGATTTGGCTAGGCAGGCAGGCCCCGAGGATCCTGGCCCTGCCTCCCCAGGCCCGGGATACCAAGCGTACACAGGAGCTCAGCGATTCACCCGTGTCTTGAAGACGAACTCCAATCCCCACGCTTGCGTGGCTAACGCCTTTCTCCCTACCCCTTTACCGGTGCTCGGAAAGCCCCCCCCCCCCCCCCGAAGCTTGGCTTCATCTGTATGGTTCTTCAAAGACCCCATTTCCTTTTTTTTTTTTTTTTTTTTTTTGTGATATATATTTTTTATTTTACAATGCCATTCAGTTCTACATATCAGCCATGGGTTCCCCTATTCTCCCCCCTCCCACGCCCTCCCCTTACCCCCAGCCCACCCTCCATTCCCATCTCCTCCAGGACAAGTCCTCCCCCGAGGACTGTGATCGACTTGGTAGACTCAGTCCAGGGAGGTCCAGTCCCTTCCTCCCAGACTGAGCCAAGTGTCTCTGCATAAGCTCCAGGTTTCAAACAGCCAACTCATGGAATGAGCACAGGACTTGGTCCCACTGCCTAAATGCCTCCCAAACTGATCAAGCCAATCAACTGTCTCACCTATTCAGAGGGCCTGATCCAGCTGGGAGCCTCTCAGTCTTTGGTTCATAGTTCATGTGTTTCCATTCATTTGGCTATTTTTTTTCAATAATTGAGTAAAACTGAAATTTATTATATGCCACAGTCGTCCTACGGACCTCCATGCTATATATATATAGCCTCTATGGTTCTATGGGTTGTGGTCTGATTGTTCATTTTATATCTAGAATCCACCAATGAGTGAGTACATACCATAACTGTCTTTCTGGCAAAGACCCCATTTCCAAGGAAAGTCCCATTCATAGGCTCTGGGACTGCAGCCCTCAGCCCCAGTCTTAGCCGGTGAGGTCGGGGCAGTGGATGCGAAGAGCAGCGATAGTGTCCGTGGGTGAGCGTGGCGGGGTGGGCTGAAGCAAGGGCATGATGTCTAGATCCCAGCTGAGGGCACGGCCAGGCCCCCCGGAGGGAATTACAGGAGGAGGCTGCCAAGGCTGGGAGGCCAGGTCCCTGTGCAGAGCCTTGGGGCCCAGGGCTGTGTGGGGACATCCCGGGAAGCAGCCTGTGGTTAATGACCTTGGAGATGTTCAACAGGATTCAGTTATTCTCACTGGGTCCTTTGTAGTGAATGGAGCTCACAGGCTGCGAAGTACATGGGTTTGTAGGCATCCATCTCCAGTTCCACAACTTTACCAGCAGCCCAAAGGAAAGCTTTTTGCAGGGAGGAGGGGAGGGCGGTTCGAGACAGGGTTTCTCTGTGTAGTTTTGGTGTCTGTCCTGGATCTCGCTCTGTAGACCAGGCTGGCCTCGAACTCGCAGAGATCCGCCTGCCTCTGCCTCCCGAGTGCTGGGATTAAAGGTGGGCACCACCACCGCCCGGCCCTCTTTTCTATTTTTTAGACAAGGTTTCACTCTACAGCACAGGTGACCTTAAATTCGTGGCAATCCTCCTGCCTCAGTCTCCCGAGTCTGTGGGATGAGACAGCCTGGGCCACCCTGTCTGGCTTCGTAGTTGCTTTCTCGTGTGCTCCTCTGACTCCCTCCTTGGCAGGGCCTCAGCTCACAACCCCAGCCCTGTGGTGAATCATGGAGTCTGGTCTTCTTTTTTTTTTTTTTTTGGTTTTTCGAGACAGGGTTTCTCTGTGTAGCTTTGCGCCTTTCCTGGAGCTCACTTGGTAGCCCAGGCTGGCCTCGAACTCACAGAGATCCGCCTGGCTCTGCCTCCCGAGTGCTGGGATTAAAGGCGTGCGCCACCAACGCCCGGCCGGAGTCTGGTCTTCTTTCCCATGAGTTTCTTGCTGTGTCCTTGGCAGTGACCTTGACTAGATCCAGCTGTATAAAGCACAAGCCTGGAGCGTCCTGGCCAGGATTACATTTCGTGTGTAACTAAGAGAGAATGGATGCCCTAAGAGGCCCAAGGTCACACGTGGCGCGGCCTCCTTCAGAAGTTTGGTTTTTGAGACAGGGTCTCCAGTAGCCCAGGCTGTCCTAGAACTCACTGTGTAGGTGAGGCTGGCCTTGAACTCCTGATCCTCCTGCCTCCAGTGTGCTGTGATGACAGGCCTGCATGACCTGATTTATGCCATGCTGGGGATGGAACCCAGGGACTCGTGCATGCCAGGAGAGAGCTCTGTCCACTGGGCCCCTCCTTTGATCCTTTTTGTTTGTTTGTTTGTTTGTGGTCCTGTTATCTACAAAGAGGCCATGTTTTCCTTGCCCAGTCCAGCGTCAGCCATTCCGTGGTGGTGTGGGGACTCGGGCCTCCCTGTGTGTCGCGAGCCCAGGCCTCCAGCATCGGCCTAGGGAGTGGATAGAGCTGAGGGGCCAGGTCTGGCACAGAGGAGCCCGTCACTCAGCCACCCTCCTCCCGTCCACAGGAGATCGTGAACTTCAACTGCCGGAAGCTGGTGGCTTCCATGCCGCTGTTTGCCAACGCAGACCCCAACTTCGTCACCGCCATGCTGACAAAGCTCAAGTTCGAGGTCTTCCAGCCCGGCGATTACATCATCCGAGAGGGGACCATCGGCAAGAAGATGTACTTCATCCAGCACGGGGTGGTGAGCGTGCTCACCAAGGGGAACAAGGAGATGAAGCTGTCCGACGGCTCCTATTTCGGGGGTGAGCACCCCACGGCAAGGGGGAGATCTGGACAGCTGCAGCCTGGGGAGGTCCCGGGAGGCTCTGAGCCGGCGGCGGCGGGTGTGGGGTGTGGGGAGTTGTGTGCGGTGCAGCAGCTGAGGCCCCGTTCTTGGTTTTGCAGAGATCTGCTTGCTCACAAGGGGCCGGCGCACGGCCAGTGTGCGGGCCGACACCTACTGCCGCCTCTACTCACTGAGTGTCGATAATTTCAACGAGGTGCTGGAGGAGTACCCCATGATGCGGCGTGCCTTCGAGACCGTGGCCATTGACCGCCTGGACCGCATCGGTGAGCTGCCAGACTGCCTGAGAGGCACCCAGGGAGGTGGAGGCATGGCATACACAAGGGGCTGAGGAGTGTCCAGGTGACACAGGGCAAGATGTCCTCCTGGGGTGAAGAGGAGGCCTGGAGGGCAGAGGCAGGAAGGGCTTGGTGGGAACAGCTCCGGTGCAATAAACCAGGCACTTTAGGGGCGTGGAATAGTCTAGGTTTGGTGGCAACATCTGGAAGGAGGCTGGTGGCCTGTGTCAGGCATGTGGGGCAGGGAGAGGTGGAGCCCTTGATGATGACGGGGAATCGGATGGTAAGACAATGACTCGTAGCCAGGCGGTGGTGGTGCACACCTTTAATCCCAGCCCTTGGGAGGCAGAGGCAGATGGATCTCCCTGAGTTCGAGGCCAGCCTGGTCTACAGAGCGAGTTCAAGGCCAGCCTGGTCTACAGAGTGAGATCCAGGACAGGCTCCAAAACTACACAGAGAAACCCTGTCTGGAAATAAGACAGTGGCTCTAATCAAGTGTGCCAGGGTGGGTCAGAGGGCACTCAGCAGGGGCTCACACACGCCTGCACACGACAGGGACTCTGTTCAGGATACACTTGCTTCACCTGCAGTACGCAGCAGGCGATTAACCTGCACCTGCCACAAGGCAGGCACTCAGTACCTGGAGCTTACACAGGCCCCTCACCTGTGGGTGCCGAGAACATGCCTGCTGCAGGCCGTGCGGCTGGCTGTATACAGTAGGTGCTGTGCTCACACTGGCTGCATAGGCAGGTGCCCAGGCTAGCGCTGACACCCACCCCCAACTCCCGCTTCGCCCGCAGGCAAGAAGAACTCCATCTTGCTGCACAAGGTTCAGCACGACCTCAGCTCGGGCGTGTTCAACAACCAGGAGAACGCCATCATTCAGGAGATCGTCAAGTACGACCGGCAGATGGTGCAGCAGGCGGAGCTGGGTCAGCGCGTGGGGCTCTTCCCACCGCCGCCGCCGCCGCAGGTCACCTCAGCCATCGCCACGCTGCAGCAAGCCGTGGCCATGAGCTTCTGCCCACAGGTGGCGCGCCCGCTCGTGGGGCCCCTGGCACTCGGCTCCCCACGCCTCGTGCGCCGCGCACCCCCAGGGCCTCCGCCTC